AATTTGATGGGAGGTAAACCGGAGAATTGTCGGAGAAGAGCTCTGAAACTACGCGGAAGAACCAAAAAGAACTCCACTCACATGTCGAGTGGGTTTATACGGGGATCGAACCTCACCACCCCACCGGTGACACAGAGCCTATACCCTAATACGTTGTTATCTSGTCATACYTAGGCATCAGTGGTACAGTTGGTACGTGATGGTCTCAAAGTCATGACACTAGCCATAGGAGACGGTGCTAATGATGTSAGTATGATCCAAATGGCTGATGTAGGTATTGGTATCACAGGRCAAGAAGGCATGCAAGCTGTCATGGCCAGTGACTTTGCTATAGGAAGGTTTAGGTTCCTTACACAGCTACTACTGGTCCATGGGCATTGGTGCTATGACAGAATCACCAAGATGTTTCTTTATTTCTTCTATAAGAATGCGGTAAGATTTGGTTTAAACTTGTTGTACTTCCAGTCCTTGCTGTGAATTTCCTTTTGCAAAAACCTTAGGTGGAATTAAGTTTATCTACATTTATCGCCTCGTGTGAGGAAACGGAGACATGCAAATAACCCGGATTAATCGATTGTGTGGCAAAACGGAGTGAACACTAGGTAAACGTAAATTCGCGATCGAAGGAGCTTCGCAGTATCAGACTTTCTGTCAAGTCGTTGTGTCTTAAGAACGCAAACCAAGAGCAACGATAAATCTGAATTGTCCTAAAAGCTGCAGAGTAGAAATGCCTTTGAAATGTCATCCAGGTTTTCATTTACTGATGTGTTTACTGAACTCTCCTTTCAATAGTTCCGTTCAGTGACCACGAATAATAGTTCCAAGTAGAGGTTGAAGTTACTGCGCATGATACACTATACTTTTGCTATGCGCGGCAACTCCAACCTCGACTTGGGACTCTTATTCATGGTCACCGAACGGAACTGTAAAATGGAGTATTGAAGCATTTTTTTCCCTTTTCGATTTTTGTTTTGTTTTTTCATCTTACGATTTTACAACAATTTTAGTTCAACTCAAACGGGAAGAACAACAACAAAAGAAAAGTAGAAAAAGGAAAAATGGAGAACAGATTCCGCAACAAAAGAAATATTAATCCTGATCAGTAATTATGATGAGGTTTCTAGATTTTCATT